AAATAACTGTCATATTTAATCATAAAAGAAGAAAAATTTCGATTTTTTTTTGTTATTTTAAAATAAAATGAAAGATCAAAGTTCAATGATTGATGAAAATATTAATGATTGAATTTTAATAATAAATTCTACAAAAAATAATTTTGGTATTAAAACTTTACAAAAAAATTTTTACATATTTTTTTTTGTTTTTTCTAAATAACTGTCATATTTAATCATAAAAGAAGAAAATTTTCGATTTTTTTTTGTTATTTTAAAATAAAATGAAAGATCAAAGTTCAATGATTGATGAAAATATTAATGATTAAAAATTTGAAGAATATGAAATAAAATAATAATTTATTTACCTTTTCACTTTCAACGCCAAATTTTTCAACAACTGCTTGTATAAGACCACTTAATGATGGAGGTATAATATGCAATGGCGTATAAATTTGTTCATCTCGTTTCCTTACATATAGCATTACTGAAATTTTCTTAGTATTTATCGTAATTAATTTAAATAAACAAAAACATCGTAATTAGCTTAATTAAATAAAGGCAATTATGTATTTGTATGTATGTATGTGCATGTGTGTATATATGGGTATGCATATATGTATATGTGTATGTATGTTCAGTCAAAATTCAGCGATTGTTGAAAATATGTATTTATATGTATGCAGATGTATGTGTATGTGTGTATATATGTGCGTATGCACATGTATGTATGTATGTATGTATGTATATGTACATGTATGTAGTATATATGTATATATGTATATATTATGTATGTATGTGCATAGGTATGTATGTATATGCGTATCCATGTATGTATGTATATATGTATGTATGTATGTATGTATGTATGTATGTATGTATGTATGTATGTATGTATGTGTATATGTATGTAGTATGTATATATGTGTATATATATATGTTATGTATGTATGTGTATAGGTATGTATGTATATGCGTATCTATGTATGTATGTGTATATGTATGTATGTATGTGTGCATGTATATATGTATGCATGTGTGCATGTATATATGTATGCATGTGTGCATGTGTGTATGTATGTATGTATATATATATGTGTATGTATGTACACATATATACATGTATGCATGTATGTATTTATGCATATATGCATGTATATGTATGTGTATGTTTATATGTATATATACATATATATATATATATATATATATATGTATGTATACATGGATGAATGTATATATGTATGTATATGTTTATGCATGTTGTATATATATATGTATATTGTTGCATATACATATGTGTATGTGAGTGCATGTGTATGTATATATCTGCAAATATGTATACGTATGTATGTGTGTATGTGTATATGCTAATTGTTAATAATTAAAAATATTTCTTTCAGATTTTTTTTTACATAAATTCATTGTAAAATTTCTTCTTTCTATTTGTTTACCTGTTCAAATACCTTGAAAATTGTCAAGTCAAAAACAAAAAAAAAAAAAAAAAAAGACTCACAAAAGCAATATTTTTTAAAAAAAAGGAAGAAAAAAGAAAAAAAAGAAACGGAAGAAGGATATATGCAAATTAAAAAAAAAAATTAAAAGAATTTTACAAAAAAAAAAAAAATACAATAACAAATGGAAAAATTTTGGTGACGAAATAAAATTTGACAACAGAAAAAAAAGTGAAGAAAAAAAAGAAAAGGAAGAGGAAAAGTGAGAACGTACAATTTAATTGAAATAAAATTCTTATCTGTCATTTTCAATCTTTATTATTCATAAAATAATGTTTTAAATTTTTTTGAAAGAATGAAAAAAAAAATTTGAAAATATTTGGAAATGAAAGAATAATTTGTAGAATTTGTAAAACTTTGAAACATTCCAATAATTTCGTTTATTAAATTATGACCTTCGTTAAAATCTTATTTAAAACTTTTTTGCTTAAAAAAAAATTTTTACTAATTTTATTTTTATGAAAATAGGATAGTCTTGATTAAATATGTTTTACCTAACATAAAAAAAAAATTACGACAACTTAGTTTTTGGCTAAAAAAAAAAAA